TAGTAGAACATATAGGTTGATGAATAAATGTATTTCACAACAACAAAGAGGTTTTGTAGTTGGTTGCATGATTCATGACAACATTATTGTTGACTCATGAAGCTTTTCATTGTTTGAAAGGAAGAAAAGAATATAAAAAGGTTGAGTTAGCATTGAAAGTTGATATGAGTAAAGCTTATGATTGTGTTGAGTAGGATTTTTTTAAGGCTGTCTTATTGAGAATGGGTTTTACTAAAGTATGGGTAAGGAAGATCATGAAATGTGTGTCTTTTAATGAATTTGAATTGTTGATTGTTGATAAAAGAGTTGATAAGTTTTCTCTTCAAAGAGGGGTGAGATAGGGGAATCCTCTCTTCCCCCTTTTATTTGTTATTATGGCCAATGTTTTATCTCAAATGATATCGTTTCATGTAGAAAATGGAGATTTGAAGAGCATAAGGTTGGCAAAAGGGTGTCTTATGCTGTTGCATTTATTTTTTGTTAACAATTCACTATTTTTTTTATTAAGGTTGAGAAAGCTAATTGTTTCACGTTGTAGAATATTCTTGATGTGTGCTATGCAGGTTTAGGGCAAGAGGTTAATTTAGAGAAATCTTGTCTCTATTTTTTTTTGCTACTAATGTTGAAGCTAATTTGAGGAGTGAAATTTATGATGTTATGCATATTTTTAATGTTGATTAGCCAAGTAAATATTTGGGTCTTCCTATTATTTAGGGTAGATCTAAAGATGCTTCTCTTACTTTTATTAGAAATAAGGTGGGTTTAAAAATATAGGGACGAAAACAAAAGTTATTAACTTTTTTAGGCAGAGAAGTGTTGATTAAGGCTATAACTGATGCTGTCCCCATTTATCTAATGGCTTGTTTTTCTTTTCTAATTAAAACTTATAAAGAGTTAGACAGTCTAATTTCTAATTTTTAGTAAGGACATAGGGATGATGGTGGTAGGAAGATTTATTGGAGAAAATTGAGTTTAATGACAGCAACAGGTATAGGTTTTATGAATTTTCTTATTGCAAAGGCTCTTCTTGCAAAGACAACATGGAGATTAATCTAAAATCTTAATGATTTTTTGTTTCAAATTTTAAAGGGTCTTTATTTTTCGAATTGCAATTTGTCTGAAGCCAAGAGAGGGAGAAGAACTTCTTGAGGGTGGAGTAGTATTCTTGAAGGGTGTGAATTGCTAAAAAGTAATTTTGTTCAAAAAATTTAAGATGGTGATTCAATATATATATTTAGAAAGATACTTGAATTCTGGGATTAAAAAGTATGCATTTGAAGGGTGAAGATGTTTTTGAGGAGATGAAGAAAGCTCAGGTCTCTTCTTTAATTGTTAATGGTTGTTGGGATCTAAGTTTAAATATTAATTTGATTTCTATAAGGGAAAAAGAGGAGATCCTCAAAATCATATTACTTGTTGTGGTGGGGAGGGATAATTGTTAATAGTTGTAGGGATGATTCATATTCTATTAAATATGGTTATTTTATGACTAAAAATGCTGATATGGTTCAAGTAAAGCATCAAGAGAATTGTTTTTATCTTCTTTCTAATCTCTAGAATGGTGTTTGGAAGCTAGAGGTTTCTTATAAAATTAAACATTTTATTTGGAAGGTCCTTAATAGAGCAATAGCTATGAATGAAGCTTTGATGAAAAAGAAGTGTTCTAATTCAACATTTTGCCTTATCTACTTTGTCAATATTGAATCAAATGAACATCTTTTGTGTACTTGTCCTTGGGTTAGAGCTTGGTAGTTTGGGTGTACTTTAGGATTTATGATGCCTAATTTTAATATTTCAAATGTTGTTAAGTGGTTTGTTGATGTGTTTTATGACAACCAATAGATTGATTCTACAAGTAAGGCATTAATAGCTGTTGTTTGTTGGAAAATATGGAAGAGTAGATGTAGATGGGTGTTTAATAGTGATATAGTGGATGTTATGAAGGTTATTGTGAATGCTAGAAGGATTGTAGTTGAATATGGGAGTTTGAAGAAGATTTCAAAATCAATATGGTTGTCTTGTAATCAGAATATGTTACCCAAAAATATTATTTGGAGATTTCCTGCTGAAAATGAAATTAAAATTAATGTTGATGGGTCTTTTACTGATTCTGGTAAAAGAGTTGGTATTGGTTTGGTTTGCAAAGATTCATGTAATGCATTTTTAGGTAGATGTGGGAAGAATGTGATTGCTTCTTCATCTTTTATGGCAAAATGTTTGGCAATATTGGCAAGTTTGAAAATTATTGACTCTTTTACAGATAAGAGAGTGGTTATTAAGATGGATTGTGAGATACTTTTTTGTATTTTTATGGGTAAGCTTTTAGGTGATTATAATTAGCATTGTATTGCCTTATTGCAACAAGGGCAAACTCACATGCAAGTTGAGGGGGGCTATGCCCCGCTCCGCCAACCCCACACCAACTTGATGTATATATCGTATGTGTGGGTTGAGCAATCCTCTCCTTTTATTTAAAAAGCAAAATTCTCCTTTCTATCTCCACATCTTACAAATGAACTATACATATGTATCTAATTATAATTTACACTTTTATATTAAATAGATATAAATTATAATACTATATATGTTGACTCATAAAAATATTTTTTTATTGATGAATGATGAATATTACCTTCTTATCAACAAAAATAGTAGAACTTAATATTTACTCCCTTGTTAAAACATATAAAGTATTTTATTTAAGAAGAGATGCTGAAAAAATATAAGGCATTTTGAGTTTTTTCAAGTAGTGAGGTTTTTCTAAAAATATTCTTAATTAAAGGTGTAATTAATAAAGTTTTTCTATTAAATAAGGGTAAATAAGGAAAGAGTGTATAATTTTAAAGACAAATAACTAACTTATTCAAAATGTCATATAATATTAAATGGAAGGAGCATTATGAGCTAGATAAACTAATATCTCCTCTATTTTATTTTAATTATATATACATTTCTTTTATTTTAAAAATTTATATGAACTTCCCATAAAATTAATAGTTAGAAAACACAAAATTTTCACCTACTTCTCTTTGAATATAGATGTTTTCTAAAAATCATTCAATTTACCTAAAGGAACTTTCAATACATGTACTTTTTACTTATTCTTATCTTATGATTTTTTTCATATTATAAAAGTATTTTAATACAAATTTTATTCTAAATTTTAAAAAATTTAAAACTAAATTATCAATTTATATAATAACTTTAATTTAAATTTTGGCCCCTCCAAACTTCCTATCCTAGTTTTGCCATTGTATTGCCCGATATTCAAGTTGCTCGAAAATCATATAAGGGTGTTTCTTTATCTTTGGTGGCTTGCCAATGTAATGAAACTGTTAATTTGTTGATAATTATAAGTTGTGGAAGGATGTGTTCTATTTTATTGCTTTCAAAAGCTATATCTTCTTTACTGAATCTTTTGCTTTTTGATTTAAGGCTGTCAAAATTTTTATTTTTTATTATTTTTGTGATGATCAAAATAAAGTTGGTGTCAGTTAACTGTTTTTGATTTTTTTTGTTTTTCTATTTTGGTTTTTTTGATGAGTTTTGTGCAGTAGGTTGTATGTAATTTCAAAGTTTTTTTTTTTAATTTCAGCTATTAGTGTGTATAATATTTTTTTGATAATTAATAAAATTGGCTCTTTTTCAAAAGGAAAGTATTTAATTAATATTTATTGAATAATTATTGTCAGTGCCACCATGTTAGAAAAAGAAGTATTTTCTCTATTAAAAAATATTTTTTCTATCTCAAATTATAAGACACTTTTAAATAAAATTTTATATACTAATAAATTTCATTAAATATGCTTTACAACCTTATCTTTCCAAAACAAAAAATATAAAATTTTAAAAATTCCCATCATGTAATATATGGAAAAGAAAAAAGATAAAAATTAATTATAGAGAGAGGAAGGATAATATTAGAATTAGTGCATTTAATGAAACATTAATCTACTCAAACTGTCTTATATTTTGAAATGAAAAAACTCTTTTAAAAATATCCTATAATTTGAGACGGAAGTAGTATAAAATATTTCTAATCAAATTTTATTTCTTAATAAAATAGTTATTTATTCTTAAATTAATCATATCTTTTCATATTTAATAAGTTATTTTATTTTAAAAAAATATAAAATAATTTATTCAATAGGAACACTTTAAAAAATAATAATAATTAAATCTTAAAAAATATAAATTTTTTTATATTTTTTTAACGAGTGAAATATTTATTTTAAAAGCTATAAATAAATAAAGACGCTGGAAAAAACTTCACCCTGGAGTCTCAACTTCCAAGAGCGCCAGAACCACAATCCTTACCTATTCAAATCCCCCGTTTCCTTATACTTCCACTTCTCGTTCTCTCCTTCCAATCTCACTGCCTTCCTTTACTTCATCCCTTTTCGCTTTGCTTCAAGTATCTTCTTCCTCTCTGCTTTTCATTTTCAACTTTCTTGTGCATTTTCTCTTCCCCTGTGCCCTGTTTACGTTCTCTCTGCTTCAAGTTTGTGATTTTCAGCGCAATTCGCTTTTTTCCGATGCCTTCCTTCCTGTATTTTTATCGTCTCCTGTAAAGCCTAAATCATCATCTTGTGATGATTTTTCTTCTCCAAACGAAGCCTACCGTGGGAAAGGCTTGACGATAATACGTACTGTGAGGTATATCAAAGAGGGGTGATTATTGTCATTTAGCTTTCATGCCCAAATTTTAATTGTCTCAATTTGTTAATTTCGAAATTTTTTTTATCTGTTATCATGTTTTTGGCTGCCAAACTTATTCTGTCAACTTTTGATTGATGTGTTGGGTCTTGCGTTGTAAGATGGTCTACCTCTTATTAATATTAAAATCACATCTCTTTAGTGTTCTATTTCCCGATGCAAGCTACATTACTTGCAATTTTTTTAGATGAATCATGGTAATCACCGTAGTTAAGAGGACCTGGATTTTTTACTTTGATATTTACTCTTATTACTCTGACATTTAGTTCTTCACTTCATGGTAGACTTTGATAATCGGGAGTATGTCTGAAGTGGAAAACAATGGGGATTTTATCCGTTGGCTGGGACCTGACCTTTCAATAAAGATTCTCGCCCATTTGGACGACCCTTGTGACATTGCTCGTGTTGCTGCTGTTTCCAGTGCCTGGCACCGATTTGGTAAGCCCTTGAAGTTGAATAAATTCCCTCTGTCTGATGCTTTGGTCTAAACTAGAGATATTTGTATATACTTGCATGCTCATTTTACTTGGAAAACTTTCTATGCTTGTGAACTTTTGGTTCTATTTAGACCTGATTTAGACTCAAACTCCAGAGACTTTTTTTAGTTCAGTTGCTATTCATTAGTGATAGGTATTATTTTATTAACATATACCCTGTTTGGCCAAAAAATTAACATTTACGCTGGATATTCTGCAGTTGTTGAAAATGGCCTTGGCAAGCAACTTTGCTTGAAAATGTTTCCTGAATTATCTGTTGCTGCTCATGTTATTGAGGTAGACAACACGATTGAACCAATAGGATATGTTCCTGGGAACCCTATGACTGAGGATTACCTCAAGAGAAATCATAAAGTCTATGCATTCTTGGCATGTGGTCTTGCACCATATATGAGGAAAAATTGCATTGCAGAAGCTATTGTTGCATCCAGCACTGACAATTATCCTGAAGAAAGTATCGAGAATACAATGGAGCCAAGGGATAGAACTGAAATCAGGGCATCATATTGGTCAAGCAAAGGGGAAAGTGATCCTTCTGTTCCCGAAACATTAGTTTACAAGCTGATTTCCAAAATATGTGTTGTTACAGAGATTCATGTCCAACCATTCCAAGGTTAGCCTACAGGATTGATGAAATTCATATTATTAATTTATGCAGGAAATATATTTGGTCAGCTGACTTGGAATTCATGTTCACATGTCAGCATATTTCCAGAACGGCCACCCTATATATTCAGCTAAATCTGTTCGATTTAGAATGGGCTATCTAAGGCAACCAAAGGAACTAGAGAGTAATCGGGATGCTAAACGAATTTTTAGGGGCAAAGACTTTGTATGGACATACACTTCACCTGAATTTCCAATGGCTCAGGTTTGTTACACTGTGCAAGTGTGGTATCTACGTTATTCTGAAGTTCCCATGAGTTTTTGCTCTTATGCAATGAAGTTTCAGATTTTCATACAAAACTCCCTAATAAGTATCATCCACATTATTCTGCGTTACTCCTCAAGGTTTGATTTTAATCATCTCATTTTATTTGCTCGTTTAAATGAATGCAATTTTGCAAGATACTTGATAAGTGGCTTTTCTGAATGCTTGACTATCACTCATTGGAATATCTGTTTTTTCATAGAGTAGTAACTTCATGGTATCTGAATATTAAGCACGGATTGTGGCTTGAAATACTTTAATCACTTAGTGAATGGTACAGGAAAACCGGTTGCAAAAATTCAAGCTACCTGAACCTGTTTTCTGCGTTGGAGGTATGCTGCTAGTTGAGCTGTTGGGTAGGGCTCAAAAACAACGGCTGGATGAACTATATTACATATGGTATGTTTCTCATATGCTTTCTCTTTCTATTATCTACTCACATGGTAAATTGATGTCATTTATCTCAAACATACATTGGTGGCTCTGGATTGTGGTTGTCACCCATATCAGGAGGTGAACTATATTACATATGGCTTTTTGAGAAATATTCTTGAACTTCGTAGAAATTATACAAATGTCTCCCGTATTTTCAAGAGCAATATAATGTTTCTCCCAAGTTCTGTTAAAATTGCATGTACCTACTCTCTCTCTCCCCCCTTTGGAACAAAGAATAAACTAGTCAGACTTCTGCTGATAGCTGTGTTTAAATTACAAAGAAGTCTCCCCTAATGACCGCCAAGTGTGTGTTCCAGATATTAGTTGAGGTGCTTGAATTTTTAATTTTTCTGAGTGGAAGGCGTCATTTGATCTGTGTGGTGCAGCATTTCTCATGTTAAAGTTCTGGGAAGACCACTTTCATCAGGATTTAGTGCTAAAATACATCACTCAGGCAGGTGCTTCTTGAAGTACAGTCCTCAAGCAGACTCTTATTTCATCTCTCCACCACCAGATTCATCTCAAGTACCATTTTCGTTGCCATCAAGTGGACTCTCAAACTCGCCTTCTCGTCTCCGAGCTTTGACTTACAACATAATGCAGAGGGCCGGGAGACGATTCTGGGGCGGTTTGTGATGATGATTCTTCGTAGTGTCAGTGTGCACATTACTTTGAGACTTGTGTTTTATAAGTTCACAATATCAGAACTTGGACTCTCACCAGCTGCGGATATTGACCTACGACGTTTTACCAACTTTATTTATATATATTTTTTAGTTTTTAGATTTCTTAAAAGGGCATGTAAATAAAAGAGCAATCAATAAAAGTGTGAAAATTTTAGTAATTAATGATTTTGTCTGGTTCAATTTTTGGCTTAAATGTCAAATAATTGCTTGCGTTTTTATTTTGAAGGTGAAGTTCTAATTTTATTTGATTGACATATAAACTGCTTCCGCAGCTATTAAAAATAGTAAGGAAAATCAGTGAAAAGGATCTAGTTAAAAAATAAATTGTACTCAAGGATTAAGTTAAATTCAAGGATCAAATTAAATATTTTATTTATTAAATAATATAAACAAATGACCAAAATATTAATTTGTTTAAACGAACGAAATTAACCAAAAAAAAAAAAGAAGATTGTCTATTCAATACATGCATTTCAGGTTAGGAGACTTACACCTAAGTTTGAAGTTGTGCAACACAAGCAGCTAGAAAATTAAGTTGTAATTTTTATTATCATGGATGCAAGGCTTTTGACTTGGGGTGCACATGTTGAACATGCAGCTGTTTTTTGTTCAATTTCATTTGTAAATAAAGGGGCATTTTGATCATTTGTTCATATTGTTTAATGAATAAAATATTAAAAAATTGGTGAAAATGACCCTGTTATAAAGGAATTTAGTCTCAAGGACTAAATGCAATTGAAGAACCAATGCTAATGTTTTATTCATTAAACAATTTGAACAAATAATCAAAATATTGCTCTCTTCAAACCAATGAAATTGAAAAAAAAAAAAAAAACAAAGGTTGCTTGTTCAACACATGCACCCTAAATCAGAAACCTTACACCCAAGCTAGAACTCTTACACCTCAAATCAAAAGCCTTGCACCCTGAGCCAGCCTTGGACCCAAGCTACACACTAGAGGTCTAAAAGTTAAATAAGTCCCAATAAACTTGATAAAAATTAACAAATTTTATAATGTAATAAAATTTTGAAAGTGTATTTATTATATTTTTTTAGTTGCATATAAAAAAAATACTCTCTCAACTAAAAAATGTAAGATATTTTTGAGGAGTTGGATGTTTAAAAATATAAGATATTTTTAATCTTTCAAGGTGTAATCATTGTCTTTTTTTAAAGTGCCCCTATTGATAGTGATTTTATATTTATTATAGGATATTTAATAGGGATAAATATGAAAAGATAGGGTTAGTTTAAAAGTAGATAACTACTTTATTGGTGGTAAAATTTGATTAAAAATGCTTTATATTTTTTAATGAAAGGAGTATTTTTTTGGCAAATATAGATTTTTAAATAATTCTTACATTAAAGAGGGACATTTTGGTCAAATTAAAAATTTAAGAATTGAATTTAATGATCAACTAACAATTAGATGGATGAAAATGAAATCTCAAATATACAATGGAGGTTTACGTATCATATATTTTAATTTTAAAAGATTTTATATGAGTTTTTAAAATAAAAAAGATGTTTGTATAATTAAGATATAATAAATGGATGATCGGCATATTTTACTTTATGATTTCTTTTCCTTTCGCTAATTGGAAGTGTATACATGATTATTGTCCTAAGAGGTTGTGGTGCGGGAAGAGAGAGAGAGAGAGATTCTCCATCATTCTTATTAACTCATTTATTTTCTTGTTCCCCCTAAATTGATCGAAGTTAATGAAAATAAAAATAAGAAGAATATTCATATTCTAAATAAAAATAAATAAAATGATCAAAGCCTTGCACCCCTAAATTGCTTGGGTGCAAGGCCTTTAACTTAGGATATTTCAATCATTTATTTAAATTGTTTGATAAATAAAATATTAATTTTGGTTCGTCAATTGTTTGGTCTTTGAAATTAATTTTTCTTTTAACAAAGTCTTTTTCATCAATTTTTTTTAAAAATATTTAGTTTGGTCCTTGAATTAAACTTGGACTTTAAGTACAATTTTTCTTTTAACTAAATCCTTTTCACCAATTCTCCCATAGGGGTATGCTAACTCAGCTTTGATATAATCTGGAACAAACCAGTTAAAAAACCTTTGCTTCGGCGTCAAGCACATGATAAAATAGAGTATAAGGAAATAAGAAATGGATTCAGAATTGGTATAAAGTAATTGGGTGCCCATTCCCTCACACCTCCTATCTTTCTCAGGTATCAAACGCAGCCTTAGAGCATGTTTGGATTCCATTGTAACCTCAGTTAAAGTAGGGGAAACTGAAGTTAGAAGGTAAAATGATAAAATTATCTTGTTTGGATTAATAAGATCTTTCAACCTCAGTTGGCATGAAAACGTGCGTTGAGTTTAAAGCTGATTGCCCTGGCTTTTTCTTCTGCGCGTTCACGTTAGTGCCTCTTAAAATACATTTTCTGATGTGTTCTCTCTCTTATCTCCTGTAGCTGTGCTTAGCTTCCTGTGCGTGTGTTGCTTTTATTCCCTTGACCTTCCCATCTGCTCCAAAACACACACAGATCTTGCATAAAGCTCTACACACCAGATCTGCCTCCTTCCGTTAGTCATTTACTCCCTCCGGCCGATCTCCAGCTCCAGTCATCTGCATCCAACCGATCTCCAGCTCATTGCCGTCCTTTCTAGCGTCCACCGTGTCCTTGCTTCGGAGTGCTTCTTCTTCCCGTCGCCTCTCGATCCTACTGTGTCCATCGGATCTACACTTCCCATCGCTGGATCTGCTCTCCATCGCTTGTCTTTGTTAAGTAATGTCATTATTTTTTCATCTCCTTCTTTGCTTCCTTCCTTTCGTGCCTTGCTCCTCGTTTTTTGAAGACTATTTTTACTAAGACTATTTTTGAAGACTATCTTTACGTTCCATCCCCTGTTTTGTTTACGTTAGAGCAGAGGAAGACCTGGCTTTCTTTTCTTCTAGAACTCAAGTTGTTGGTCTTTATTTTCGTGGCTTATCGTCCTTTGCTATTCCAGAACTTATCTGTACTTGGTCTCCTCTTTATTTTCCATCCCCTGTTTCGTTTATCTTAGAGCAGAGGAAGAGCTGTTGTTATTTTTTTACTGGAACTCAGTTGCTGTTTTCTATTTTCTTGATCTGTCGTGCTCTACATCTATGGATAGGAATATTTTTATGTTCATGACTTTGCTTCCTCGCTTTGTCTTCCTTTCACGTAGTAATATACTGAACATACATGAACAAGAATATGATTGTGTGACGATATATATTTGGCACGGGCATTCGCATTCCTATCTTTTAAGGCCATGTTAGGATCAGCGGTCCAAAATAATTTCTTTCTTCCAGGCATTCTCTTCCCGAATGTCGCGTTTTGATTACTTATATTTTATATACCTCTCGACTCAAGACTGCTCGTGCTTGTCCTCGTGTGGCGTACCAATCGGAGATACATGGAAAGGGAGATGCCAGCCTACAGTAGGGACCGGGAGTGGGTCTTAGTTGTCTTCACCTTTAATTATTAAATAACAATATTAAATGTTAGTGATTGTTAATTATTAGTTGATCAATTGAACTGAAGAGAGTTGGGAGGGGCATTCTGGCAAGTCTTGAACCGTACTATATCCAAATCATCAACATATTTATCTTATGTTTGGATTATGTTTTCAAGATTATATGTTTAGATTGTCAATTTTTGAGTAAAAAATAAATATAATTAGAAGGAATATATTCTCTTGTCTTCATTATTCCTTGAGAAAAATTAGTCAAGAATATTTATAATGTATGTATATATATGCCAGTGCATAATATTTGTCGTAACACCCTTGAAAAGGAATCTCAGACATTAGTTTTATTCTTTTATTGGTTAATATACAATCAAATTTCGTGGGGTTGAGTCCAGAATCTGTTTTCTTGATATTCTTTTATCGATTAATATTTTCACCCAGTGCATAATATTTGTTTTCTTAATTTATTCTTTTAAAGTTTAAAGATTCCAAAAAATACAAACATGCTTATTTAAGATTTAATATTTAAGATAAAAAATTCATGCTTATTTTTACTATTAAATATCTCAACTGGCTTTTGAATTAAACCATCCAAACGAATTTCAGTTTATCTGACTGACTTTTAAAAAAAATGGTATCCAAACATAAATCACATTACATCAACTGACTTTTCTTTTAACTTCAGTTTGCTAACCTCAGTTGAATTCTAACCTTAGTTATAAATTTTTTAATCCAAACACACACTTAGTTCAGTGGAAGTGAAAGAATGCAATAGTTAGAACTACAGTGAGTAGCTTCCAATGCAACATCATTTTTTAGGGAGATAATGAATTTTTGGGGAGGATAAATATTTATTATTAGAATTATTTGAAAAACACGTATGATTTCGCAACTCAATCTCTCCTTTTCGCCTTAGAATCTGTTAGATTAAATCGTTTTGTTTAATTTTCTTTCCTTTTCTACTATATTCTACGCACTGAACAGTCACTGCACGATCCACCTCTTTCTTACTCTGTAGACTAGCCGCTCGTTTTCCAGAATCAATCAAATTTTATACATTTCGTATCATTTTGATCATCACCTCCCACAAACTTCATAAAGCTCTGCAATTAGCCCTCCCAGAAGGATGAATTGAGGCGCAAAGGATGGCAGACCAGGAAGACATGGCAGTGGACCTAGTGTAGTAGTATATAAATACGAAGCTGACAAACTGTCCCATACATTACACTTGCAGGTGTGACACAAAATCCTCAAACAAGATCTCTAAAAGCCTACTTAAGTACAACAGCACCATGTCACAACAAATAGCATCAATATGGTAAAAAGCAGGTATTCAAAATATCCTGTACAGAGATAATTTGCTGAACCCTTGCTTCCCCAGATGTGCCAATTAGGCAATTACTGAGCCGAGTTATGTTAGTCATTCCTTCCAAGCATAGTCATCGAGGTCACTGTTAAAGAAGCCATTATCAGTGAACTCACGGGCAATATCCTGAACCACATCTTGCAGGTGGAGATCTTGTGATATATCAGAAGTTCTTTGGTTAAATCCATTGTTCCCACCAGCTGCAGAAGAATCACTGTTTGAAGGAGCTTTGAAGCTGTTGCTTCTGCCAGGAGCAGCAGGTCCATTACTTCCTGAAACGTTGGAAGTTCCTCCAGTTGCTGGTGGAGGGTTACCTCCAAAACCCAAACCATTACTTGTAATACTTCCATTAGGGTTGGGCCCAGCATGGAAATGCGGTTGAACTCCTCCACTGCTGTTATTCGACAATTCCTGAACTAGTTGCCGGAGCATCTGGGGAGGTAGAGCTTGATTTGTTTGGGAGCCCTGCGGATGATTTTGCTGCAGTAAACTATTCGCACTTAATGAGCGCTGTTTAAGTTGCTGTAGATGCTGCTGCTGATGCTGTGGAGATAGATGGGGACTTGAGAAACCACTGACAGGTAAATTCTGCATGGAGCCTGGAAGCAAAGCAGCAGCGGCACCTTGAAAGTGAGAAGAGGGACTCTGGTTTGAATTACTGAAGGAAGAAGATGCTTCTCTCTGAAGTGAGTTAGGGTTTGAATTCATGGAGTTTTGCCTCATGAGGAGATTATGGTAGTTAGTCAGTGCCAATGCAGCTTGTGCAGATCCGCTCAAAGTACCACGATTACCAAGGTTAGGATTTTTGCTGATTTGGTTATTCAATCCAGGATGCAAAGCCATTAGCTTACTAAGCGTGTTTCGGTCAGTTGGCAGACCTTGAACACTCGCTAACTGTTCCATCTCTTGCATCTTTTGCATCTGGAGCTTGGCTGCAGTTGCATGTCGAGGATAATTTTTTAAGCCCTCTGCAGAAAGGTGTTGAATCAGAATAGAGAGCAGAAGTGACCACTGCTAAATGCTAAAGAAATAGTTCAAACCACAAGACGGGGCATATCTATTGGATCATCACATCATCACCTCATCATGCTCTACAGATTTCAAAAGTTTCCTACATTTCCCTTTTTCTTTTAGTGAATATTTCCATTTTTCTATTTCTTATTGATCATGATTTAATGACCTCAGTTATATCGTCCCATGTCCAGAAGATGATAAATACAACTGGCCTGAAAAGAAAAAAGATGAAAAACCAACGTAATCCAATATAATGTAATATCAAAACAAAAAAACCACAAAGGATTACCAAGTGCCCCAACTTTGTGCTCTCGGCAGAAATCCATCAGATCTTTCATACTATTCACAACCTCCGATATCTGTAATTCATTGCAACAGACTAAGATAAAACGACCTGATTAAAAAGGTTCTCTCTCATCACAAACAATGAACAGTAAACTATGAATTTAGACTTTTTAAGAGTACCTGCAAACATCTCACATAGCGTTTTGAGAAACCCAAGTCATTCAGAGACTGTAAGTCCAAACTCTTTGCCAGCTGACACCTAGCTGTTATTACCCTGATGCAAAATAACGTCAGCTTCATCTTTAATTGAGAACATATTTTAGATCTGTTTATTTGTGCCATCTTCCCTCCTTTAAAAAAAAAAACAGCAGAGACTCTTAATCTACCCTCCTAGAATTTGTAACACCAGGCTGTTCTATCCGGCTTAATAATACCTAACTAAATCATGGTAGAAAATATTTTTTGGGGGTGGGGGGAGGAAGAAAGCCTGAGATATTCTGCAGTTACATTGCTGCAATATGTTCATACTCTTTAATAGCCTCGTTTGCAATGAACAAAGACATAATTGTGATCCAAGAGGGGAAAAGGAAGATTCTGAGAAATTTTTGAGTTACACTACTGCAAAATGCTCATAATTGTTAACAACCTCATAGCCAACAAGTGAATAAACAAAGGCATCGTTTGACGCTCTAATGAATTGAGCATCACCATCTGAAGCTAACCCTATATACGTAAGACATTGAAGGCCATAGTCAAAGCAAAAAATCTCAGGGAAATCCTACACTCAATTAAGATTCTTCACTTCCTTTTCTGGTATGTATCTTTAGTTTCATGGATCAGATCCAGGGCATTCAGGTTCAGCAGTCTTCTAAGCAAATTTAAAGCACCCATTGCAGCACTATATATATTAATAAGCATATTTTGCCAGCAGTAATTCCATATTTCTGATCCACCAACTAACTAGACACCAAAGGAACTGCAGTAATTTTATACTACAGCCTTAACATCACAGAATATCTGGGAATAAGGATTTACTACACACCAATTATCGACTCACATTTTTCTGTTTGTCTGCAAGTCCTGCTGAGAAATCCCATCAGATCCACTTTCAGTGATAGAACTCCGGCACTTTTCAGCCACTTGAACCAATTGGCTGACCTGCAATGGTGAGAATTATAGGATGCAAGTTCCAAAACAGTACATCATCATCTTTATTCCAATTAAGTTCATAAGGCCATGCCAGTCTATATCTCCCTAATTTTGAGGCATTTGCAGTGTAATATGTAACATACCGATTGCTACGCCATTAAAATCACAATCACGTAATTAGAACAATAACAATGTTTGATTGTAGTTGCTACTAAAGGCTTCTAGTTCAATAAGACAAGAACAAAACACTCATCTAAAAATTGCAGAATTATCCTTTTCAAGGTGGCAATTTCCACTGCTTACGGGATTCCTCACCCATTTGTCCACATTACTCAAATGCATAATTCTGAATCACTCACTAATGCACACATAACACAAGTAATATCAAAGAATGCATGTATAGATGCAAGGAGATAAAATATATAACAAGACACTAGGGACTACTAATCACACAAAGTATGTGAAACCCACAATCTTCTTTAAAATAAAGTTCTCAACAAGCAAAGTAGAACACTCCCAATGACCAACTAATCTTAGCCACAAACAAAACTAGTAGCCACCAGTTGAAGAAAACAGAGCCATTTAAAAGGAAAATAAAAAGGGATCACTAGGTCAAAATTGAAAGTTCATCTAGAAAATCCTTGTTCCTCAGGCAAATAGCAGTTGCCATAATGAGGTAAAGATTTACTGTAGTATGCAGAGCTATACCTGGGGTGCAACCAATCTTCGAGGAAGAAGTTCTTCATGCCGCCTTGCACAAAACTCCCAAGATAATATCTGTACAGGAACCAGGTTTGGCACATCATTAAGCAAACATGATTCAATTAGAAGATAGCCCTTAATATTATAAGGAATTTTATAACCTTCAGATCTTGTGTAAATATGATGCGAAGTTGACCCTCACGAACAACACGAAGTTGCTCATGGACGCTCTCTTGAACTGCCTTTCCATATTCTAACATCATTAAACCAGAAGGTAATCTATACTCACGGGGAAAGTCCAAAAACATAAGCTCATCAATCACCCCACTGCCAAATTTGATTTCATTAAGTCTGGGGAGTACTTCAAAAGTTGCCTCTGTTAACCAAACCCATAACGTAGACATCGTTAGATTTTTCTTGGCTAAATAATCAGATTCTAAGATTGACAAGAGGACAAAATAAGATATTTCACAAAGACAGCATGCTAAGACAATAGCTGGCAGGTAAAAAGTAGTGTGCATATTTGTCATTTGTGCCAGCTTTGCTTTGACAATTGACCACTCAAAAATGACTTAATTAATCTACTTCCTGATGCTTTATTTGAGTTTTTGTTTAGTAATTTCCCATTTTCAATAAAGTTATATTATTGCCCTTAAGAATTGCTAGACATGAACAGTATCGATCACAAAGAAAAGCTATTCAGCAATTGACAGTTAGAATTTAGTGTTTCACTGGAGGAGAGCAAAGACTATCTCCACATTAACATTTGTTTTATGTCTAAGCTTAGAAGTTTAGGATGATAAGGTGGAGAAGTAAAATTGTTTTCACATATCTCTATCACGCTCCTTGATACAAAATGCATTTTACAGGGGGGAAATCTCTAGAAGCACAGTATAAAAGAATAATATTATTCTTGTTTTCTTACCAAAGCCCCGTCCAGATTTAGAACCACATATGTCGCATTGCCATGCATCCTGACCAAAGATATGTTCATAAAAGATTATTTGCATGTTGAAAAGCACCAATGCGTTAAAAGCACAAAACAGTTCAGACACAATGATTTTCTAAGCCATCACAATCATCTGAGACAAATATCTTTGAAGTATATTGGCATTTCTGAGCCACCAGTAAAACCAAACAGGATCACACAACCCATCAACACTTTGAAGTTTGAATACACATTTGAAAATCAGCATGAATTAAGGTATCATCCTATGCTACTATCAAAAGGATACCCAAAAAAAAAAAAAACAAAGTCAACAAAGCAAAAACTTACCATAGCCGCTTGGGGGAAAACACCAAGAGTATGCTGCCCAACATTATCATATAATGACAAACACCACCGCTTCTTTGCACGAGGAGAGTAATATTCAGCAACAAACTTTCTCCAGTAGGCAATACTATTATCCTGGGACAAGTAGGGAAAATAAATAATAACTCTAATCAATTATGCCTTGCAACCTAATACCTTAAACGTCAAGCACATGCATTCAGACAACCAAATTTAAAACGAACACCTGAAAGAGCAGTAAATTTAAAAGAATAGTGGAAAAATAAAAACAATACAACAGATGTCAAATACCTCAACCAAATAAATTATTGCTCCTATAATAACTAATAGATGAAAATGACATCTTGCCACATGCAACAAACAAACAGAAGAACTCACATTTGGTCGCTGTCCTTGATGATATAGGTATTGCATCAAACGACGGGCACACACCCCACTATCATATGGGCGCTTCATGGCAGACGACGGCTGCATTGCTTGTTGCTGTAATTGCTGCCTCAATTGCATATGTTGTTGTTGCTGCTGCTGTTGTTGCTGCAAGTGAGCCCTCTGTAACTGTGGCATTGACTGAAGGATTTGTTGCTGCTGTTGCTGTTGTCTCAATCTATGCTGCTGAAGCACAGCCTGTAGTTGGGGATTACGACCCTGGAACTGCATGGGGTCCTGCCTCTGAAGAAGCTGTTGTATTGCCTGCTGATGCATTATATCTTCTTGCTTGATATCCATCCGAGGTTTCTTCTGCATCTGGGTTAGATTATTTGGATCTTGTATCAAAGGAACTCTCGTACCCATTGGCGGTGGAGCAGAGCCAGTTTGGGCTGCAGGCAAAGATGTTGCACTGGAAGCACCCTGGATTTGCTCATGATTCTTTTGCAATTGCTGAACTTTCTGGTCTTGATGAGAGCTCTGCTGTACTACAGAAGAACCATCCATAACTGATGACCCCGAAATACTAATATTATTTGATGAGAATGACATGGGTGATGCAGGTAAACGTAAGTATGAGTCTGTGTTATTGCTAGCACTTCTCTGCAATCGGGGTCCCCCTGATAGTGCAGAATTTGCATCTGTGACTAATGAACTAGCTCCAACACTTGGCCCTGAATTTGCAACACTATTTAGAACTGCATTACTCATGTCACCAGAAACAGGACCAAGATTTAAACGTCCATTTCCAAGAAATGAGTTGGATGTGTTACCAAAACACGAGCTTAAGTGAGAGTCAACAGCATTCTGTGATTGCCCGTCTCCTTGATAGAATATTCCAGAACTTGATGATGAATGGGCTAACCCTCCAGCCACCCGAGAAGGTGCCATGGGGAGCACCACCCCTTCGTGACTGGAGCCTAAGTAGCTCTCTAAAGCCAGGCCTGACTGGTATCTAGACTAACTAGAATATTATGTCAACACTAAAACAGAGACATAAACCCACATAATCTCTCTTTCAAAGTTCACAAGCTCTAGGTAAAACACTTATTGCGTGAACAAGTTTCCCTGATTTTACTTCTTCTTTTCCTTACCTTGCTGACTTAACCCAATCAATAACAAGTACTGTCAAATCTATGAGCTTCTGTGCAACCAAATGTGCCCAATAATTTTATTAACTTCTCAACTCCGGACACGTTCTGAGATGAATCTGACATCAATATAGTAATGCATGTGTGTAAATATATTAGCACTGGCAATAAATAAGCTTCAATCAATAAATAAATAAAACCAAGCCCTCGTATAAAAAAGCATACATTACAAACAGACCCAGGAACTAAACCATGATAAATTTCCCACTTAAAGGTAGGAAAATCATGGTTTATTAACCATGCGCAAAAAACCCTAATTGTTCATAATTCAGACAACAATCTGCATAAGCATTAGTCTAAAGCCGAAAATACAAAGTTTTCATACATTCAGACGACCAGGTGGCGATCATATTGCCATATTGTATAAATAAAACTATAAATCAATCCACAACCAAATTAAGCCGCAATATTCAGCACACAAGTTCAGGAGATAAAAGACTCGTGGTGTAACCAGAGAGCTTGAATCGAACGTGCAAAGTGCGAATATCCGGTCCACAATCCGCAAAAATGCAAACTTCAGGTCAAACAAACATCACAAAACCGGTAAAAGAAAAGGATCAAGAGCAATAAACATAAAAAGTTCAACTCTAAGGGGGAAAATGAAAAGGTATGGCTTGACAACTGGTGAGATCGATCACTAGCAATCAAAATTGAACCCAACGAAGCATATAGCAGCCGGCGCAAAAATTATCAGAATGCGAAGAATCAGAGGGAGTGAGCCACTCACATCGGCAACGCGAGCTGTTAAAAAGCAAAACTTTGCCTAAATTATAAAAACTAAAATGGGAGAGAAAATTACTTAGCAAATGAAAAGGGGGGGAAGAGAGAGAGACGCTTAAGACGGGTGATGCTTATATAGCTAGCGGGAATGGCAGTGAAGGAGTGACCGACTGTGAGGTTCTTTTTTCCTATATTACCGGCGCTACCCGGTAAACCGTAGGACACGTGTCGAGCACGCACAATGAAACTCAGTCGGCGTTAGATCACGCGACCACGAGGAGAGATCATCAACCACGTGGCTCCACTTAATTGGTTGGCGAGCAGGTCGCGTATCAAGGATTTGGAAAGGATTGCCTGGGTAATTCCGTCGGAGCAATGATCAGGTACGGTGGCACTAGATTTGGTATTGGGATACGATTGGAAGACACGGCGGATTTAAAAGGGATGGATCGTGGGGGGGCTGGTGAGCAGGACTCTGATCGGCTAAGAGAGAAGCGTATATATGCTGTAACGTGTGGGTGCGCGTGTTTTAGTACAGGGACTCTATTTCTTTAACGAAAATATGATGACGGGGTTAACGGATAGAGACTGACAGTCCGACTGCCACGTGCGATTGTGCGAAGACGAAACCACTCTCGACCCTTTTCATTCTGCTCTTTTGTCCGTTCGCAAATCGCAACCCAACGCTTTTCAGAAAGCGAAACCATTCGCCTTCGCACTTTCTTTTTCTTTTGGGTCAAAGATTCGTCTTCTCGCTATGAAATTTGTTAAAATCCTTGGTCTCTCAATCTTTGAAACTCCGCTTGTTCAAAACCCTGATGTTTATAGACCCCCTGTTCCATTCTAATTTCTCCCACCTTTCGTTCTCAACCACGAGCTTCTTTCGAAATTTAATCATCTCCTTCATCAATCTTCTCAGTGGCATTTCATCGAACAGGTTACTCCGAGTGTGAATTCCTCCATTATATGTTCGATTCTAACCGAACATGACTTAGGAACGCTGGCTTATTCATCAACTTTTGGCCCATCTTTGGCCTCATCATTTCCTGGATTTCAAAACTCTTTTGCCTCACTGAAGACACCTGTCTCTTGAGGAATGTGTTAGTGGCATTCCCATAAACAGAGAGATTTTTTCTTGTGTTGGCTCGTCTCGATCTCCAACTGCTTTAATAGAAAGAGCAATATTGTGTTCAATTATATATGACAGGGGGGCATTGTGAATTGCACACAGGTAACGAGGCATTAGAGATGGATGTGGCGTGAACCATGATCTCTATTAAATATCATATCAAGCACTGGCTAGTGCATCCTGCAATGAAGGTGATCTAGAAACAGCCTTGGCCAGTGGAGATCACCTGACAAACGCAAAACGATTCAATTTCTTTTTTTTTTTTTTTCCAAAAAAAAAGAGTAGTGAATTGTTCACAAATACTTGGGCTCACGTAACACTTCCCCCTATTTTTCGGCCCAACATTTTTCGCATTTGGTGCTCAACGGATGATGTTACCGGCTGAGATCAACATTAGTAATGTGTTCAACTCACTTATACAAATAGTAGAATTTAAATTTTAATATATAGCAATTTAGTTGAAAGATTGAAGATTTTCACCTTAATATTTTGGGAGAGATTATCTCTCCCTCTTTGTGCTATGAAAGCGAAAACACATCTTAACGCATTAACAATAAGTTATCTATTATTACTTTTGTTGTAAATTTATGAAAAGTTATCAATGTTAAATTCTTCATTTTTTCCCGAAATTACATGTGATACTTCTCTTGTTTCAATAATTGTTGGCTAAATTACATATAACTCTTCTAAGATTTGAACTATATATAAATAATTCTCTTAACCTTTAAAATTTAATAATAAACATCTCTGAGCTTTTAGGTTTATGCAAATAACCCTTATTCATTAATTATTTATCTCTTTAAACTTTATTTTTGTGAGCATTTAAGCCCTCAAGTTTTGATTAATATAGGAATAACCCTTCTAAACTTTAAATTATGTGTAAATAATTATCATATAAAATTATGTAAAGTCATCTACATAAATATAAGAATTGAGAGGTGTTCATTATATTTGACACCTTAGAAAATTGGAGTTATGTTGCAGAAATCTTCTTTCCAATTCTATTGGTTACATAAACATCATTTTTATTTTACTACTTTAGTTAGTATAAAACTTATCTTTCCTGATTTAAATATTATAATAAATAAAATACATATTTTTATTATTTATGACAAACAACTATGAATCCAATTTTATCTGTTAATTTGAATTTTGAGTTGGTTGGTTAGGCCACAATTAGAAAAAGTTCATCCTAAAATGATTGTTTTTCTACTACAAAACTTGAATTTAAGAGCTTATTTCTGTTCCAATTGTTATTGGTAGTCATTTCATTTAAAAAATGCATGTTACATACAAAGTTAACTTCATCAATATAAAAGTAAATTGAGTAAAAAGTTAAGGGCAAGCTTCCAAGTAAAAATAAATATCGAGTGCTCATATGAAACTAGCTTATATGATAAAAGCTAAGTATGGATGGTGGAGGGTTCAAATGTTTTTCATATACTCTACTCCTTTTGTCCCCCTTTTTCTTTTGGAAAAGGAAAAAAAAAATGGAGAGACAAGTACTATTAACTTGAAATTATAAGTGGCTTGAATTCGTGATCTTCTTTTTATAAAAGAGCTTGTATACTACAAGGCTACAAGGTCATTGACCCCTTGTCCCAAATCACAAGACAAGTGAAAATAGGATTACGCATACTAATAAAATTTAATAATAACACTCTATAAAATTACTTTTTTAAAACAAAAAAAATTCAAGAATAACTTTTATTAAATAAAACTTTAAATCTACATACTTTTACTTAATCATTGCACTACCTTCATTTCAATTCTCACTTCACTAAAAGGATAATATTAAAAAAAATATTATTAATAAAATTTTATTTTTATCAAATTATCTTATATTTTAAGGAAATAAAAAACTTTTAAAGTTATCTTATAATTTAAGATGGAAAGAGCACTATATCTTTATACAACACAATTTATTCAAATCTTATGGAATTTATCACAATGTTCTCTTAAAAAGTCTCCACTCACTTTTTAAACTAATTTGTTTTCTTGCTAACAATGTTAATAAAAAGTTATTTTAAAACTAAAGTTGTTAATTGTTGATAAATAAATGAAAATTATTGCTATTTTCGGCAGACAAGGAACATAGCCCAATGACTGGGTGTACTTTACTGGGCTCTTAGGTGAACCCACCTTTTGAATAAAAATGGGCTGATTTGAAGACCATTTTTTAATTATATATATATATATATATATAACATGTGAAGGGCTAGTAAATGAATTCCCTAACAAAAATGGGCTTGGATTAATTAAGCCCAGTATTAAGTCAAGGAAAAAAAAAAGAGTAAATAGACCCTGCATATATAGACTATTTTTATTGTTCCCTCACAAAATTCTTCATATCAAGAACCATACTGCAATATATATATATATATATATATGTATATGTATATGTATACACTGTGTGTAAGATGTGTGACGTCTACAATATTTTTTTTGTAATTATTTATCCATAATTATATATATTTTTAGTTAGCAATGTAAAAGATATTTATCATTGAGATTAATATTGCATCCCCTTTACCATTCCGTTTCCATTTTTGATATTAAAAGGGGCCTTGGTGTTGTGGAACACATGGCAAGTGGCCCATGTGAGTGTGGCCTTATGACCAATTAATCAGGCAGCCACCCATGTTTTTGGTTTCCTCCTGCCAAAATGCAAAGGCCCGTTTGGTTCAATGTCATCACACATGTGCAATGATAATGGGTACTACTATTACTATTAGAAGAGTGACTAGCTTTTTAGGTGGTCTCATGATAATGACAATTATACATCATTACTAAATTAATGATATTACTCATTCATATCTCTCTCTATGAATCTTCATTATACTTCATTACCATCTTTTCATTCTAAAATGATATTAAAATTGCATTATATCCCATTACACTGCATTATTCCAAAAAGAATAAGGAATTAAACCAAACAGGTCTAAAGATGCTACTAACAAGTTTGGGTTTAGGATTTAGTAGAAGGGGTCAATTTTTTACAGAAGAGCCAGTCAAGATTTGAATTCTTATTGCAAGTGTGCCAATATTTAGTATATAACTATATCTCCAATTTGATTACCTCTAATAAAAAAATTCTCATAAAAAATCATTAAAAACCCACGTTACTTGTCAACATCATAATTATCAATAATAATGTTAATTAATATGAAAATAAAGTTAAATACAAGATTGAACCTCAGAAAAAAAATTATTAAAAAATTGCACGGTATTAAAAGTAGCCATACTGTCCCTCACTTAGAAATAGTTTGACTTTTATTTCGAAATTATATGATTTTTTCTTTTAATTGCACAAACAGCCCAAGCCTCCTTTGGAACTATAACAGGAAAGAACGAATTACATAATTTCACTACAATTTAAATAAAATAAATAAATGCATTACTGGTTATTAAAATAGAATAGAAAATTGAACAATTTCAATAAAGTTAAAATATGTATCATTCCTCCTGAGAAGGCCATGCAAACTTTTATAATCTGTTTCTACCATTAATTTTAGGAGAATGATAAATAAATTCTTAAAAAAGAAACAATAATAATTTGATCTCGGAAAATATGATAATAATTTTACTACTAAAAAATAAATTTATATAACACCATTCATTAAACAGTTATTTAAAAAACTACTATATAAATGTAGGGGAGAATTCAACAAACTGTTATTAAACGGTTATCTAAAACTATTTAATAGTTGAGGCAATTACTCAATAGTTGTTATAATTATCCGTTGAGTAGTTCTTGAGTAGCCCTACAACTTTGTAATTTTAAAAAGTCAGAGACCATTAAACAGTTGTCTCTAAGAATCATTCAATAGTCTCTCAAACTATTAAAGGGCTGTCTAGAAACAATCATTTAATAGACTACTCAACAATTACTCAAAAATAACCACTAAGTAGTTCCTTTTAAATTTTTGAAACACCCTTCGGATACCTATATTCGAGACGTTACTAACTAGTCCTTCTTCACTCTCTCTCACTTTAGAGCCCCATGCCCACCACTGTGAACATCTTTCCA